TTAGCTCACCTGTCTTTAGTTTACCTGTCTGTTAGCTCACCTGTCTGTTAGCTCACCTGTCTTTAGTTCGCCTGTCTATTAGCTCACCTGTCTTTAGTTTACCTGTCTTTAGATTACCTGTCTGTTAGTTTACCTTTCTGTAAGTTTAACTGTCTGTGATTTACCTGTGATCTCTGTCAGTGCCCTCCACTCTGATGTGTCTCTTCCTGGTTCATGTGTTGATCGAGCTGTTTCAGATTTAGCTGTACTCATAAACACGTCACTGTTAAATCTACTGTGTGTCAGTGTGTTTGTTGGTGTTTCTGTCTCTTTGTGGGGACATGTGTGAACATCACCTGTTTATTCAGTTAATGCTGTTTCTTGTCGAACTGAATTCTACTTCATCACCAGTTCAACCGGTAAATATGTGTTTGTTAGAAGCAAAGATGTTTTCAGACATGAACTGTGTAAAATAGTGGACATGTTGTGTAGTGTTTCTCCTGTGAAGACAACCAGAACATGTGGGGACATTCAGGTGAGGGGTTGGAGCCTGTAGAGCAGCAGGAGGCGGGACATGACGTCTAAACTCTGCTGTGGATCAGTGTTGTTGTTTACAGCTCGTCCACACCGGCGTCGGCCCTCATCACCAAAACATCTAGAACCTCCTCGTCTTTCCAAGTGGACGTCTTCGTCTTCTACGTGTACGGCTCATCTTCTTCATCCTGAGAGATTTGTGTTCTTCCAGTTTCACGTCCTTCATGTGTTAGAAACCTCATCATCTCTGACTCAGATATTTGTGTTCTCACTTTCAGAACCTCCAGAACATGCCAGGAACATGTTTGGTTCAATTCATTTCAAGAGCAGCAGCTGTTTTAACCCTGAATATTTTTACAGTGAACTCAGAGAAATCTCACTGGTTCAGCCTGCTGCACAGGAATGTAGGTGTGTGTGTGTGTGTGTGTGTGTGTGTGTGTGTGTGTGTGTGAATGCTGACCTGCTGAAGTCATTAGTTTTTTCTATTTTAACAAGCACAGGAACAGAAGAGCAGAGTTTTACAGTTGCTGTGAGGACTCAGAATGACTAAGCAGAGACAGACCAGTTTAAAGTCCTGACTGAATCCTGAATGTGTACAGATAAAACACACACACTCAA